TGACAACTGTCCAAGTATTTCCAGTGGTTGTCCCTTCAAGCTCGTTGCCAGATATACTGCTTTCCGCTCCTCTATCCATCCGTTCCTCTCTGCCAGTAACTCAAACTGTGCTCTATATGCTTCCCACGGTGCTTTACCATCGTATTCCTGTGGCTTCCTTCGTACTGGATCACTCCTAGTACTGACATTCATATCTGGAACGTGACTTCTAATGGGACTGAATAAATCTGCATTAGGGTTTAGCTGCAGGGTCTGGAAGGGGCTTGTCATTGTCTGGGGCTGGTTAAGTCGATGGTTAATAGATCCTCCTTGTGTAAAAGACGATAAATCATCCTTTAATGTATCTAATTCGCTTTTAAACTTACTAATGTTTTCCATTTGTACTTCTTGCCACTGTTGTAGTCTCTCTTCTTGTTTATTTTCTTTCTCCTCCAATAGCTGCTGTAATCTCTCTTCTATTTTATTTTCCTGTTCGAGCTGCCACTGTTGCAAGTTTTCTTGCCACTGCTATAATCTCTCTTCTTGTTTATTTGCTGTTCGAGCTGCCACTGCTGCAGGTTTTCTTGCAACTGCTGTAATCTCTCTTCTTGTTTCTTTTCTTTTTCCTCTAACAACTGCTGTGATTTCTCTTCTTGTTTATTTTCTTTCTCCTACATCCACTGCTGTAATCTCTCTTCTTGTTTCTTTTGCTATTCTTGTATTGCTGCCATCAAATCTGCTAAGCTGTAGTTTGATTTTCCGCCTCTCGTTTCCATTTTTTTTTCGTTCCACTTCTGACACAAGTTTGTTACGCCTCCAGTCGTTAGTTGATTTTCCGTAACTTCGTTCCAACGAAACTTTAGCGACATAAGTCCGTTCTTAATAAAACTGGTTTATTCTTTCTGAATATAACTTTACCGATACACTTATTTTCAACAGTCGCTCTATAACAAACGCTAGAACGTCTCACGTGCTCGGGCTCGACAATACTTAGTTCAATTACTCACTACACTGTTCCCGTCACGTTGTGACCATCTTATATATACCAGACTACCCCCAATCTAGTAATCTCCCATATTGTTGCGTCAGCGAGGTCACGTGACTAGTATCACGCCACTCCTTCTCTCGAACCTTCGGGAATTATCGAACGAAATTGTATGCTTGTTTGTCTGTTAACTCCTCGCACACTATTTGACCAATCACCACCAAACCTGGCATGGTGACTCCTACGGTCCTCGAAGTAACATGAAAGGGCAAAATTCCCACCAGGTTTCCAACAAAAAAGTTTATTTAGTAACCTAAAACTAATTTTTGGATTTTAATTCAGTTTCTGTTTTCGTATCACGCTCTTTTTGGTAATACTCAATAGTATACACAGTCGCTTAGCAACAAACCTATCATGATATTGTTGGTAAGCCAACAGTGTTACTTACGTCGAACGCGTAATTTACTTGTTAATTTGTGGTTTATTTTTATTTTCTTGGTTTTTAATAACTTCGGTGATATAAAAGCAAACGGTTTAATTCAGAAACTTCTTCTTAAGTTAGTGTTGGAAAGTTTCCAATCAATAAATCAAACAACTACATTACTATTCCAGACAAATATGGTAACTTACTCAAGGATGCAAAAGAGCAAAAAGGTGTTCCCTGATATTTGTCAACATTATTTATTAATGGTTGTGTAAAAGAGCAATTCTTGCACCTCGATATAATATTGTTTATGATATTGTTACGACAGCGGAAGTCACGCAAAGCTGGAGGCTTGAGTGCTGGAGTTTCTAGAAGGATCATGACTGTTCCTGGCAACTCTAGTCTTTTCTACGCGCCCTCTATTTTAGTATATAAGCGGAGATAATTGCAGATAGACAGATAATTGAATCAAGCGAGCGGTAGTGACCGTAAGTAAAGTGCGTGAATCGTTGTGAATTCAAACGTGTGTTTAAGTTAAAGTCACTGTGCAAATTCTGTGTATTGCAAAGTTGTA